CTTGAATCTCACAACTAAAAGAAGGCTTTATGATATCTAAACTGAAAATCACATTGCCTACAAAAGATTTAAAAAAAAAGAAAGTCGAGTCTTCTTCGACTCCTCTTTCGAAGCTTTAAATTCCCAAAGCCACTGTGATATGCTTCTAGAATTCCAAGAACAAAAGATTATGACTCAATAATTTTATCTTCCGTCAAGCTCTAACTCACATATGAAGGCAACAAAAAGACATTCTCAGATCATCATAGGCTTAGAAAGTATCCCATTCCCTCAGTGAGGAGACAGAAATCATCCTACAGAGAGATAAATAAAAATTAAAACTAAAAATAGAGAATGTGATTTAAAAGGACTGGCAGTAAGCACTGAAACTATTAAAACATAGGCCTATGGTTAAATAATTGTACAAATATTGCTATAATTTGTATAAAAATTAATTCTTCAAAGACATTATACATGTTATAAGAAGCTAGCAACAAAATGCCATATTAAACCAATAACATAAGGGAAGGGGGGAGGGCAAGAATAAAAGGAAGTGAAGAATGCTAACTTCCTTATCTTATTCAGGGAAAAGTTAGCATTATTTCAGTTTAAACTCTGGTAATCACAGAAATACACATCCAAATAGGGTTGCTTGGTTGGTTTGTTTTAATGTGATCACTTGTAGAATAAAAACAAAATCTACACTGACTGACTCAGTGAAAAAGAAAATCCGTGTAGCAAAAAAATAGAAAGCAAAGACATAGCAAAGTAGCATGAAAAGAGAAAAAATAAAATAAGATGACAGAAGAAAAGAAAATCATATCACAAGTAACAATAATGTAAATTGGTTAGCAATGTTATCCAGATAGCTTTTAAGAAGAAAAAAAGTAGACAAAGGCATATCATCAAATGCAAGCACAAAGAAATCTAGAAAACCAATATTACTGTCAAAGTATAATTCAAGGCAAAAAATATTAAAGAGTAAAGTGAGCTATTTTCTACTAGTGAAAGAATCAATAATTAAGATATTGGTC